CTATCCGTGACACGCTCGCAGATCGTGGCAGGAGTGGCATTTTCTCGGCACCACAGGGGGTGCGCAGAGGGTGGTCCCACAGCGCGGCCTCTATCCGTGACACGCTCGCATACCGTGGCAGGAATGGCACGTTCTCGACACCACAGGGGGTGCGCAGAGGGTAATCCCCCAGCGCGGCCTCTATCCGTGACACGCTCGCAGATCGCGGCAGGAGTTGCACTTTCTCGACACCACAGGGGGTGCGCAGAGGGTAATCCCCCAGCGCGGCCTCTATCCGTGACACGCTCGCAGATCGTGGCAGGAGTGGCACTTTCTCGACACCACAGGGGGTGCGCAGAGGGTGGTCCCTCAGCGCGGCTCTATCGTGAACGCTCGAGATTCGTGGAGGATCGGAGTTGCACTTTTCTCGGCCCACAGGGGAGTATGGCGCAGCGGGTGGTCCCCAGCGCGGCCTCCATTCCGTGGACAGCTCGGCAAATGTGGGCTAGGCGTCCGCAACTTTTCTCGACCACTCTCGGCGCCCGCCCCCCCCCCCCCCCCCGCCCCCTCCCCCGGCCGAGGCCGTCGGTCCCTCAGCGCGGCCCTCTTTCCTGTGGCTCCTAGCTCCGCACCCCCCCGCTCGCGTCCGCGCAGGAGTGGCTGTTTCTCGAGCACACAGGGGGTGCGTAGAGGGTGGTCCCTCAGCGCGGCCTCTATCCGTGACACGCTCGCAGATCGTGGCAGGAGTGGCACTTTCTCGACACCACGGGAGGTGCGCAGAGGGTGGTCCCTCAGCGCGGCCCCTATCCGTGACACGTTCGCAGATCGTGGCAGGAATGGCACTTTCTCGACACCACAGGGGGTGCGCAGAGGGTGGTCCCTCAGCGCGGCCTCTATCCGTGACGCGCTCGCAGATCGTGGCAGGAATGGCACTTTCTCGACGCCACAGGGGGTGCGCCGAGGGTGGTCCCTCAGCGCGGCCGCTTTGCACGACGGTCGTCCAGGGCATAGCAGGCGTGGCACTTTCTCGACGCCGCAGCGAGTACTCGGGGGGTGGTCCCTCACCGCGGCCGCTATGCACGACGGTCGTCCAGGGCATAGCAGGCGCGGCATTTTCTCGACACCATAGATGCTGCGCAGGGGGTGGTCCCTCACCGCGGCCGCTATGCACGACGGTCGTCCAGGACATAGCAGGCGTGGCACTTTCTCGACACCATAGAGGGTGCGCAGGGGGTGGTCCCTCACCGCGGCCGCTGGCTGGCTCGAATCTGTCCTCGATGGAGGAGAGAAGGCTAGGAAGAGGGAGGAGGTTCAAGCAATATGGCGTTGGATGACATACAGGGGAACATTCGCGACGAGGGCTGAGAACGCAGAATCGCGCATATAGTATAAACTTAAGCAAACACATCATATTTAAATTAAGTATGCGGGTTCCTCAGTAGCGTAATCAACTCCCTGCAGGGCGAGGCAGCAGAGGCGACGGGAGATATAGACCGGGACCTGCTGGAGACCGAGGATGCATTCCAGCCCACCTTTCGAGTGGTGGGCGAATATTAGAAGCACGACAATCAGACAAAGCTGCCTGCCATGACCTACGCCATTTTCGGCAAATTCGCACGCCAGGACAAGGAGACGCTGAAACTGTATTGCCTGCGGTGCCAGCGTGAGGTGCAAAAACTGAAGGAGGTCGGTATGGAGGTTCCCGATCTGCTGGCAGGGTGGCACCACCTCAGCAAGGCCGCGGCCCCATCGAATGGGGCCGCTCAGATGCGAAACCAGTGCGGAGACGGACTGAGCTGGGCCAGGGTTCTCAACGTCTTGTTGGGCACCGATGGTGCCGAGGCAGCACCCGACGCACGAGATGTGGAGTACGCGGACGATCCACGTGCACCGTGCCCTGGCCACTTCCCTGGTGCATTTTCAATCATTGCCGATTTGCGCATGATCGTGGTGCCGGGTTTGTGGAATTACTTGCGCCCACGTCCGCGCCTTTGGAAATCCTCGCGGGGTCTGGCGGCTCCGCGGGTGAAGGGTCATAAGGATTTCTCTGAGAGGCCTCGCTATATGTTGGTATCCGGGCGGTACGGGGCGTAGTTTTTATTCTTCTTAAGGAACCGAAGCTATGCGCCGTGCCGCGTTTGGTTTTCTTCGGCGGCCCTAGAATTGGCCGTCGAGTCTTCTCGTCGGCCCTTCTGGTCCGAGTGGGGGGCGCGTGCGTCTTCGCTGGGCTCGCAAGCGGGCGTGTCCACGCTATTGGCGCTCGGCGACGCTGGGGGGCCCCTTGAAATTTCGATACTCGGTGCGGTGATCAGATATCGCCCGCGCGTGGAGAGGACTCAGCGAGCACTCGCTGGCAGCTCGGCCGCCGCAGGCGCCCCCCCTCCCCCCTCCTCCTTGCGAGGGCTCATGCCCGGGCGAAGACGGCTGCTGCGAGGAAGGCGAGGACTGCGAGTGTTATGGCGAGGAAGATGGCTACGATCAGTAAGAGGCCGACGAGGCTGGGGAGGTGCCGCAGGGGGCCGAGGGGGCGCAGCTCGCCTGTGACGAGGCCTGCGTGCGTTTCGTCGTCGAGAGCAAAAAGCGAGTCGCGGAGATCGCCGGGCCCAGAGGATTATATGCCATCGTTGCCCTGGCGCCCGGCAAAAAATTTGGCGCGCGAGCCGATGCAGGGGCTCGGGCAAGGGCAAGGGCAAGGGCAGCGGGCGAGGGGCATGGTCAGGGGCCGGGTGCCAGCCCGTTTCCCGCCGCGCGGAGGCCGCGCGCCTCCCTGGTCACCGACGGCTGCCCCGCCGCCGTCGGGCCCGCCGAGATCGAGCGTCTCGGGCCCGACTCAGCAGCGCGGGCCGCGTTTCGGGAGGTTCCGAGTGGGCGGCTTTGTGCGTGGGCTGGAGGAAGGCCGCGCGGTCGAATATGTGGGCGCCCTCGAGTGCGGGAGCTCGATCGAGGAGGTCAGCGCGGCGACAGGACAGTCGGCGGGGGCATCGGCGACGGAGGAGCGACCGGGCCCGTGATGGGCGATTAGAACTGGGCGCGGCGGGAGGAGCACCCGCGCGCGAAGTAGCTGATTCACGGGGGGTCGTCTGCGACAAGAGCGACGGGGGGTTCCGTTGCGGCGACGGTGAAACGCTGGGGGCCAATCAGCAGGTTGCTCGCGCCGTCTGGCCCTTCGGCGTCAAGAAGGAGATCGCGATTCATCTTGCGCCTGGGCTGGCGCCGCCTCTCATCGCGCGGCCGAGCGTGGAGGAGTGGGTGCTGGTGCATGACTGCCGCGGAGGTGCGTTCGTGCTCGAGGGCCGTCCCGAGAAAGTCTGGGTGACCTCCGAGCGCGATGAGAACGGGGAATTCATCGTTGACCTGCCGGGCCGCGCCAGGGCCCCGGAGAGGGCGCCGCGAACGCTGGGGTGCCCGCCGACGACGAAGACGATGGCTCCAGCGAGGACTCGTCTGGCCGCGAGTCTGGCGACTCCAGCGGGCCCGAGGGCGACGCCGCCGGCTCCGACGCCGCCTACGCCGACGCGCATTGCCTAGAGACGCGCGCGGGATTCTTCGAGCCCGGCGATGCGGAGGGCGCCCCGGTGATAGAGGCCCCCGCGGGCTCGCGGGGGGGGCCCCGGCAGGGCTGCCCTCGCTGCGCCGCCAGACTTCTATCCTGACCTGGTCCTGGCCTCGGAGCATGCCGAGATGGGCATTCGGTTCGCAGTTCAGGGCCCGCGCCCGAGGGTCGTCTGGAAGTTTTCGTGTATCTGGCTAGGCTGTCCCAGGTGCTGTC